TTATATTTTTTTGGAAATTATATGCCTTCTATAATGCACTTGAAGTCTGGACCATAATATCTTTCAAAGATCTTTCAAACATAGAATAGTTGATATACATGTAAAACTAGAGTCTATTTATAGCAATTCTGCATATTCCGATTTTTATAAACAGCTCTTATGTCCTTATAAAAGGACATTCAAGTTTAAAGGACTTATAATTTTAAACGAATATTTTAAATACTTATATATGTTGTATGATGCTGATATTGTTATCAGATGAAAGCTAGGAATCTGTAGATCTATCTATATTATTTATTTGATTGACAAAACATTTAAAAAGAAATTAAATTTAAATAAGATCTCATTTTCGAAAATGTTTAACTACTTTTTTGTGAAAAATTTTCTTTAAGCTTGATATTAATACCAAATTTTTTGAAAATTACTTTTGCACTGTGTTATAAATCTCATGTTAAGTCTGTTGGTTTATTTGTCAATCACGATTCAATAACTGAATAAATTGAAATGAAATTCGAAACTTATAAAGATATTATATTGTAAGCACCTTACGGTGGTATTGATGTTCCCACTTAAGATACCATTTCTCAAAATTATTATTATGGTCAATATTTGGTGTGCTGGGACCAAAGCTTGAAAGGTCCTTTTTTAAGGTTTTTAAAATTTAAAAAGATAGCAAAGATATGATATGAAAATTGCACATAAATGCTTGATATTATATTGAAAGTACCTTTCGAAGACCTTTCATATGATGCAAACATTTCTTTGTAAAAAATAGGATAAAAAATCATAAAAACCTCACAAAAAATGCCGTTTTTGAAGCCAAATAACTCTTAAAGGGAAAATCAGACAATAGTTTGAATTTCCTGAAAGATTGGCCAAAAATGTCATATAAATACTCTTTGGTAGATAAAACAAATAACTCTTACAAGGATAATCCGACAATAGTTTGAATTTCCTAAAAGATTGGCCAAAAATGTCATATAAATACTCTTTGGTAGATAAACTAAATACCGTGTACATTCTTTAAGCACGCGCTTATAAAATACTTCACTACTACTGCCTACTTAAATATGTTACGGATATATTCATAAACAATTTAAACTCAGTGGTTAAAGTATTTATCATTTTCTTTATAATTTTTGGGTATAATTGAATATAAAAATATTTTACAATTTAGGTATAAAAACATTACCATATGTTCCGAATTTGAACATATTTTTTATCTTAATTTTAAGATGTTTTAAAATCGGAATAGCAAAGTATTCTCCCAGCCCCAAAAGAAGTATATGAATAATATGGGTAAAATTGTTAAAAAAAACTATTTTTAAAATTTTTATGACATTTTGACACCTTTTTTACATACGCCCATATCAAATTTTATCCCCATCCGATCAGACCTTCAGAAATTTATTTCTAATAAAAAGTGATAATTAGCCCTATCAGTGACAAAATGTGGAAAAACTTTTCCTATTGTAGGTTTAAATTAGGATCGAGCCTATTTTAAAATTACATTGCATATAAAAGTGGTTTACTGAAGCTATATGAAACTATTGGAGGTTTATTTGAAATTTGCTTAAATTTAATTAATAAACCTATAATAAATTTTTATGAATACAGCTGTTATTATTTACATAAATATGTAGTCATGGAGTGAGTATTAATGAAAATGAATGCAAGCTAAATGTATTTTAATCTAAAAAATCATTAGTATCATACAATGAGCGAGGGGGAAGAGTAAAGTTGCGAGAAAATAGTAAATATGTATAGTTGTATGCTTTGAATTATTCCAATCACTAAGTACTCTAAAAATACCAGTTCAAATACTTTCGGCATTTGTTTGTATTAGCTTGAGCCTCGAGTAGGTGGTTATCTGTGTGGTTATACTTATACAGTTAAATCACATTTCAATGTTAATTACTAATCAATGATTTTTTTGTATGTTAAAAGTAGCATGATGAAAGTGTAAATTGCATTTGTAGATTAATATCTGGTATGAGTTAAAATATTTACTTATACAATATTTTACTCTTTCGTTTAATGTGTATTGAGTGTGGGGAATTATAATGGAAGTTTTATTTGTTTGTTTATACATAGAAACTATAATTAGAAGATTCTATCAAATACATAACATTAACAAAGATCTTTACATATTACTTAGAGTACCTATTTGGTAGCAATCTAGTGTAGTTTTGCATAAATATTTAAACCTTGTATATTTTACAATGATTACGTATTTAAGCATATTACTAAATAATTGTTACTCTTATAGTATGTGAGTGAAAATACATGTTAATAATCTCTATAATTCATATTACCGATACTTTTAGTAAAATTCTCATGTTTTATTAGCACTTGTCACATAATTAGTCCTGTCAAAAAAAGTTAACAAAATAACTTACTTAATTGCCCTTAATTTTCCAAATACCAGTAACAACTAGAATATGTCATTTCTATTATTTACAAAATTTACCATAATCTGCGGGAAAAAAAAAGCTACACGATACTCAGTCATTTACTATAATGCATTTTCGTAGTAAAATTAGTTTTCTGATTAACACTAACAGCAGGTGTTCTTGAAAAACCAGCTGGAGATGCTTTTGTTTTTTTTTCAACCGGTTTTTTTTTCTCATCCCTCTGGTACTTGCAGTATATAATGAAAGTATTTGTTAAAATTAAGTTAATAATTTATTTATCACGTTTATAGATTTTTAGGTCATACCTACAAAATTTACTCAGCAGCAGTTAAAATTTTAGTTTTACATACATATTTTTTGGGTTTGTTTTTTGTTTTTGTTCTGTTCACTTACCTTTATAATTTATGTATGAGTGTACTTTAAGCATTTTTCAATTTATGTCTAGTATACTGAAAAGATAAGAGATAAAAAAGATGTTGTAAAAGATGTTGAGAATAACTAAAGAAAATATCTTGAATTGTTCATCAAGAGTCTTAAATAAGAAATTTCATATTTATTATGATGTTATAAAGGTTTTGACAAAACTACTATTGGTTGTTTGGTATTGAAAATGGGCAGTATCTAACAAATTGTATGATGATAGGTCCATGATTGACCCTACTTCCCACATAAGATCCCTTTCAGATAATGAATTCAACGCTCATTACTACCATAATAGTGATGAAATTCAAAATCAACAAATTTTGTAGGAACCAAATTTTCTCTACCAAATTTTCTGAGGATCGGTCCCTACCTTCCATATAAAATCCCTTTCAGAAAATTACTTTAACGCTCATTACTGATTTAAAAATGCCTCTATAGAAATTAGCCATAAATAAGTTTACATATTTAACGCAATACAGACAGACCAACGAGATCATTAAATCATTTTTGAAACTTATTCTCAGCCAAGGAAGTTTTCCCCCCAAAATTGATATTTACTGATAGAAAAATCACTTCTACACTCAGAAACTTAAATTTTGCTAAAAATTTGTCTTATAGGAAAATAATTTTTACTAAAAAAGTGATCTTCTTGTTTTTTTTTTTTAATAAAAAAATTTAAATTTTATCTAAATAGTAACCGATATATTAGTTTACAAAAAAAAAAACGAAAAAATTATCTTTCATTTCGTTAAAAAAAAACTTTAGCTAAACTAATCATGCGCCGAAAATTGAATTTTTGACTGAAAAAACTGATATAGATGAACATATATCAGTTCACAAAAAACTTGGTTTTTATAAAACCACTAAAAAAAATCTTACTTTAAAAAATTTTTTATATAAAATATTTTCTAAAGCCGTGATTTTTCTTATTCATCGAAAACTGATCTCTCACCGAAAATTTTTTCACAAAAAAAAAAAAAAAAACTGATCTTTCATAAAAAATTCAATTTTCTACTAAAATTTTTTATTGAAACATTTTGATAACATTTTGTCCATAACTTTAAAAAATTTCTCAAAAAATATATATTTCATATTTTCTGCAAAAGAAAGTGATCTTTTATTAAAAAATTTCATAAAAATCTAAAATCATGATCTTTTGTCAAAGAATGTTGAGTTTTTAATAAAATATTAGGATTTCCCTAAAAATTTTAACTTATGCTAACATTTTAATAAGAAATTTTTAGAATTCCAAAAACATCTTTTATATAGAATTTTATATCGAAAACTTAGTTTATCACCGAAAAAACTGATCTTTCACAGAAAAATTGTTTTCACAAAAAAACTGATCTTTAATATAAAAATCAGTTTTCTACTAAATTAACTGATCTTTTATCGAACAATTTGGATAAAATTTTATCCATAAATTTAAAAAAATTCTCATATTTCATAGAAAAATTTTGCTAAAAAAAGTGATCTTTTATCAAAAAAAAATTCTATAAAAATCTAAAATATTGATCTTTTGTCAAAGAATGTTGAGTTTTTAAAAAAATATGCTTATACTTAATAAAAAAATTTAAATTTCCAAAAAAAAAAAAATTATATAGAAGTTTTTCTAGAAAACCGATCTTTTATCAAGAAAATTTTTAAAACAGATTTTTTATCAAAAATTTATTTTTTTGAAACAAAAAAACAGATGAATTAAGGAAATAATTCTGTAAATTGTACTTTTCGCCATAGTACGTTCAAAAAACCAAAAGTAGGTGTGGTCAAACATATATCTGATAAATTTTAATTTTTAAATTGTGGGGCCCCCCTATACTTAAACCCACAGCACAACTCTGTTCTGATAACACTTAAAAGGGCAAAATTGCAAAACTGTAAATAATGGCAAAATATAAAACATTAAATAATATTCGAGATAATATTTCTTCAAGAACAATAAAAAAATGTAAATAAAAGAAAGAAATTAAATACAAAAACCCAAATTGATTACAAGGAAGTTCAGGCAGATAAAGACAAAGACTTTCCATTCTTGGTTGAACACTCACACACATACAAACAACAAGAACGAATAAAACAATAAAAGAACAAACGAAAAAACTAAAGAAAGCTGGAAAAAAGTAGAAATGAGAAAAAAATAAGTCTTAAAACAAATTAGTCTTGAACTTAAAGTGCTCACACAAGGAGTCATAATGAAATTCTTCAACAAATCATATTTCATATTAAATTTCATTTTAACAATAATACTAATAATAACTAAGATAAAAGATACTCGTGCAGCAACAATAACAACAAAGACAAATATTGTAGCAGAAAATATTGTTGTAAATGATTTATATTTGCAACGTATTAAATCCAACTTAAATGCCACAACAAATCCCTGTGAAGACTTCTACGAGTACACATGCGGTAATTGGCACAAAAACTATAATGGCACGGAATATATCGATATGCCCGGTTACATGGATTACACTGTCAATCAACAATTCGCCCAGATAATAAAGAATATAATGAATAACACTCAAGTGTATGGACGACTATTGGATGTCTATGATTCGTGTGTAAATCTAGAGACTTTAGCTTTGAATCGTTTTCTGACGATGGTTCAGGAGGAGCTTTATATGAAATGGCCATTATTTAGTTTGAACGAGACCCAGTGGCAAAATCAAACAGACTTTGATTGGCTTGCCACCATAGCTATGTTGAGGAAATATGGTTTTAATGGTGTTTTTGTTACACAAAATATAAATGTCTTGCCTAGCAATGGTTCACATTATGTAGTGGAAATTACACAGCATGCAGGCGGCAGTTCTTTTGAATTTGATGAATTGGAAGAGATATTTATAAATTTTGGTTTCTATCACAACGAGAGTCATTTGCTAACCAGTGAAGTGATGAAATTGGAAAAGGCTGTCACAAAACTGGCTCAAGTTAAATATGTCAATGAGACGGAAGAGCGCAAGTATAGTGATAATTTCAAGTTGTATACATTAGAGCAATTTCAAGAATTAATACCACAAGTGGATTGGCATAAATATTTCGCCATAACCTTAAATCGTTCAGATAATTTAAGTGATCTGCCCGTGCAAAGTTTTGCCTTGGATACGGAATTCTTTAAAAATCTCAATGAACTCTTCGAAAGCACTTCCAATGAAACTATAGCTTACTATATAATGCTGAAATTTATGCTTTATATTAATACCAATTTACCGCAGCAACGTCCCAAAGATTGTATTAAATACTTAAGATCCTATATGCCGGTCTATATGAATTTTCTTTATGAAGGTTTTCTTTTTAAAACGAAACGCTCAAAAATGGAATTGGCTTTAGAAAAAATATTTGAAAATCTTAAATTAGAATTTAAAGCAATGGTACAAGAAAATCATTTAAAATTAGATGCAGAAGAACAACAATTTATTATAAAGGAGCTGCAAACTATGCAATTGAAAATTGGCAATTTGCCGGTTAATTGCACGGAACAGTTTGTGTCTAAATACTATGAAACTTTAATTACAAATGACACTGATTTCTTTTTTAATCACTTGGAACTGTTGAAATTTTTTGTTTTCCAGGAATACCAAAAACTAGAGAATGTTTATATACCCTTTTCACAGAAGATCTTTGATTTGGATCCTTCCACCTTCTCCTCCTCGTCACCGGTTAAGATATTTGATAATGCCATTCTAATACCTTATGGTTATTTGCAAATGCCTTTATTTGATGCTCAGCTACATGAAATCTATCAGTATTCACATTTTGGCTTCATTCTAGCCCATGAAATAATACATGCCTACGATCTGTTTCACATAATCTACGATCATCAGGGCAACTATAATTGGTTGGGTTCGCGTGTTGCCTCCCATTATTTTCCTTATATACAGTGTTATGCCCACAGTCCTAGTGATATTTTATCTGAAAATATTGCCGATATTTCGGGTTTACGTTTGGCTTATCGCACCTATCGGAACATGTTACAAGATTTGACAGATTTCAATTTGGACTTTATGAATCTCAGCAAAGAACAGTTTTTCTTTGTTAATTCCGTGCAGTTTTTATGTGCAAATGTTAATAAGATATCAAATTTAGATTTGGTCACTTTAGATTTGAGTCATGATATGCATGATACACGTGTTCGCCGCAACTGGGGAAATTATGAAGAGTTTGGCCGTGTTTTCGAGTGTGCCCAGAATTCGAGCATGTATCCAGCGGAAACGTGTCGTTTGTGGTGATTTAGTGTTGGTGTGTGTGTGGGAGATTTTAGTTATAAGTGCGAAATTGTTTAAATTGTAAGATAATTTAAGATTATATGAGATTATAATAATAATAATAATGTTTTTAAATTAATAATAATGTTATTGTTTTATTCTGTAAAAATACTTTACAAATTTCAGATTTTTGATTACGGACTTGAAATATTATTTTGACAATGCATGTTATTGACGAAGAAGTCCGTCTGTCCATTAAGATTTTCGTACTTATTTGTACTTACACAACAACTTACTTTTCAATGACTACTACATACTACCTTCATTACTTTTGTTACCAGAGATATCCTTTGCTAATGTATATAAATCCCTTGTTATATTCTGAGGCCGTGTTTCCCGTCCATAAGCTCTTCACAGACGAGTATAGGATCTGTAAACGTTCTCTTGTCCTCTCTCATTGATTAGTTGTCAGGTCTCATCCGTAATCTAAGTTTTGCATTTATGTATGTTGTTTGCTGTCTAGCGCTATCCGTTGTCGTGCTATTTATCAAACTCCACTGTAGACGTTCATGTTTCGATGCCTCATCATATAGGTTCAACCAGTCCTTCCCGTGCACTTGCACAACATTATACTGTCTCGATGAAGAATGTGTATTTTGTCGCCTAATTGCTGATATTTTCTAACAGTTCACACAAGAAGGTGATGGTCGGAGGAACTGTCAGCACCTTGTTTGTACCGAACATTCAGCAAAGAATGTCTCTATTTCCTACTTGTGGTAATGTGATCAATTTGGGTCTCCGATCGGTGATCGTGCTATTTATCACATTCCACTGTAGACGTTCATGTTTCGATGTCTCTTCATATAAATTTAACCAGTCCTTTCCGTTCACTTGCACAACATCATACGGTCTCGATGAAGAATGTGTATTTTGTCACCGAATTGCTGATATTTTCAGTGTAACAGCTCATACAAGAAGTGGTGATCGGAGTAACTGTCAGCACCTTGTTTGTTCCGAACATTCAGCAAATTCAGCAAATGCAAAGAAATACATCTAGGCCTCTATCGGGCCTGTTGTGCGCTCCATAACTAGTGCCTCAGGTGGGAGTCGAACCCACCACCTCCAGTCTACCAGACTAGAACAATAACCGCTAACTTACTGGAGTCGCTATAAGACTCGGTGTTGAAAATCATCCCTTTGTCAGGCCACCTTGTCTCACATAAGAACAGTAAAAGATGTTCGTGTTTTCGGAACTCTCGACATATTTGAGGCAATCTTGATGGCTTCAGAAGCGAAGAAGTTCGTATTTCCGGAATTCCCGACAAAATTCATCAAATCTTCATGGCTCCAGAAGCGATCTTATATTCCATGTCTCAAGTTGTGTCCTTGTTTTATAGATACAAAACTTCAACAGTTGGGAATAATTCTGATTTTCATTTGCTGCGGTTAATCGCTTAGGTTTAAGATGAATTTGGGATTAGCTAGTCACATCCGATACTGGTATCGGAACTGCCGTGCGATAATTTTGGAGTGTTTTTTTTTAGAGGCGCTACATACTCGCCACGTCATTCTAAGAATCATTGGCAACTTGGAAACTTGGTGGGATCATTAAAAAGTCTCTCCGAAACTCTCATCTTAAAACTGCCTTTGTTTAGATGCTTATTTGTAAGCAAGCGTGTTAAAATCAAAAGTTAAAGTGTGAATGAGTAAGTAGTGACAAGTAGTTTAATAGCTTCTTAACTCATTACTATTCAATGTAAGTCTTTGCTGGGCATTTATCTAAGATTAAAAACATCCTAGTAATAACAATAAAATGTACCCATTAAGCACTATTTCAACCCATTAAGCACTATTTTTATTTGTTAAAATTTTGTAAGTGATATTTCAGTCATATAAATTTAGTCATTTATAAAAATATACTTAAACATTTCGTTGCCCATAATTAATATTAATCAAGGAAACATTTTTGTTTTTATATACTACGTATAAACTCGTACAAAATTGCAGTCAATTAAACAAAAATTTAAATTAATTGTATGTATTTTTAATTTTCTACATTTTCAGATAAATCTTGTCTTGTTGTCATGATAGTCATACTATATGAGTAAGTAATAAATTATGTATTTTTATGTGTAAAAAAATTATTTATAAACAATTTCGAAAAAAAAAATATTTCTAAACGATCACGTACAAATAAAGCACAAATTTGTACATTTTCTAAACAATTTTGGCAAAAATGTACAAAATATCAATATTGAGGTATCCGTTCTAATCGTTAAACAAATAAGGCATTTGCTAACGTTATTTGGAAGTTGTTATGTGTTAAATAATTTTTAAAGGCGCAAATTTTCAAATTATTTTCGGAAATCTATAATTTGTTGACAAATACGCATAACAACACTTTGTTGGGATTGGGATTTTTAATTCTCCAAGGCACCAGTTTGTCTAAAAAGGGGAGTTCGAGTTAAAATTAATTTGATAAAAAGTGTTTACAGTTGTTGTGAGTTATAAGCCTAAAATTTTAATTGCCTGGCAATTTAACAAGAAGACTCCGTGTGTGTGTGTGTTGTGTATTTGAATTGCTTTACATTCTCACAAATGATAATTGAAACTGGTAATTAATTATTTGCCAACACTGTATAATTATCAAAGCTGCTTTTAACTCATAAATAAATTGGAAAATATAAAATGTATATAACCACTGTATTTAAAAGCACTTAAATGGTAATAATAGCAACCCATTTGACGTTTGTGTTTTGCAAATTAAAAGAATATCAAATCAACCAATACGAAGACTATCATTTCAGTGTTGCCATTTTAGCTTTTTTTATTTATAAAATTTAACGTTGAAATGTATGTTTAAGTTGCTGGCTGTTTTCTACTCCTTTTTCGTTTACTTATTTAGCTTCGAAAGAGTCTAAATTGTGTTTTTCGGATCTATTGCCATTCTTGAACTTCTCGAAAATCATTGGTTTAAGGTTGGGAATGTTCGACTATAAATTTTCACCTGTTTTAATGCAGTCTTTAAGCATACAATGTTTGTTTTATGTTTAAATTAACCTTTTAGCGATTTCCGGCCTTTTTTAGTACCATTAGGTCTCTTTTTTCCTAAGCAACTGGCAACACTGGCCATTACATAAGCTTGTAAATTATTGTTTTTTGTATGAAACTACTTTATTATGGGAGGTATATTAAATTTATGTTGAAGTTCATTACTAAATAAAGTTCATAGGACAATTTATTTTGGGAAAGCGTAAATTATACGATTCTTGTGAAATCACCCAATATTTTGTATAAAATCTTCAAAATTCATTTGTAAACTATGCCCATAGAGATTGTTAAAAAGTCTTATGTTGAAACTTTCTTGTAAAGTCCTATATTTAAAAGAAAAATTTTGAGTCGTCCCTTCAAGCTTTCTTTGCAAAATATATCATAATTAAGAGATTAGAAAGCAGGACAATATTATAAAAATATTGTTAAAATTTATTTATCATTTTCTAAATTAGCACTTATTTGAATTCGTCTATACTAAGCGAAATTTAATGCATTATACTTGTTTATATTTTAAATGAAGTTGGCATACACATGCTTGAAACTAACATTGCAACCGCCAACATGGTGCATTATATGACAGACTGACTGCACCAACTGTTTTGGTTTGAATAGCTTATTCATACTCTCAACAAAACGTGTATGGTATATTTAATATACCGGTCAGAGATTCGAAATAATGAAATATTTTAGTATATCCCGGTATAAATGGAACCTTAATTTCGCCAAATGAGTGTTGAAAAAAATCTAAATCGATATATATATCTTATAAAAATATATAATTTAAAATTGAATTTATTTTGCTCTAATTTATACATAAAAAATAATCGATTACAGAGAAGCCCACCTTTAATAAATAGAATTAAACAATTACAGTATTCTCTGACACGACGCGATAATGATATATTCAAGTTTTTGCATTAACCTTTTCACCCGTCAAGAACACACTTACAATAAATATGCAATTCCTAGACAAAGAAGACAACCATATTTCTATTATAATCAATTGTCCCATTTGCTACCATCATTAAACTAAATTTGGACTTTAAAGCTTATTAAATTATTTGAATTAAATTTTATTCCCGAATATTCCAGGAATTTAGTTACTCATCATGCTAAATTTACAATTACCTATTTTTAGACAATTAAAAAAAATTATAAAAAATAGAAATATTTTGCTAAAAATTTTATTATAGTCATAGTTTTTGCATAAACCTTTTCACCCGTTAAGAACAGAATCACTATAAATTTTCAACTCCTAGACATAGAAGACAACCATATATCGTTCATAATCAATTTTCCCATTTGCTACCATCATTAAACAAAATAGGACTTTTAAACTTACGAATTCATTTGAATTAAATTTTACTCCCAAATAATCCATTAATTCAGTTCTCATTATGCTAAATTTACAATTGCCTATTTTTAGGCAATTATAAAAAACTGTATTTGAAATGCAAAACAGAAATATTTTGCTAAAAATTTTATAGCTATAAAAATACCCTAAATTAATTAAAGAATTAATCGTTTCAAAATAGTGTTTAAAAAATATATTCAATCACAATAAATTTTCAACTACTAGATATAGAAGACTACCGTATATCGTTCATAATCAATTCTCACTTTTGCTACCAGCATTAAACTAAAAAGGATTTTAAAACTTACGAATTCATTTGAACTAAATTTTACTCTCGAATATTCCAGGAATTCAATTTTATCAGGTAATTATAAAAGACTGTATATTAAATTCGAAACAGAAACATTTTGTTAAAAATTTTATAGCTACAAAAATTCTGTAAATCAATTAAAGAATTAATCGTTTCAAAATAGTGTTTAAGAGAAACCATTTAATCTCAATAAAATTTCAACTCCTAGCTATAGAATTCTACCATAATAGACATTAATTCTCCCATTTGCTAACAGCATTGAACTAAATAGGATTTTAATATTTGTGAATTCAATTGAATTAAAATTTATTCTCGAATATTCGAGGAATTCAATTCTCATTATGTTAAATTTACAATTGCCTATTTTTAGGCTATTATAAAAAACTGTATATGAAATTCCTAAGAGAAACAA